AACTTCCATGATCCCCCCCCAGATGTCATAGATAATGAAGAAGAATATGAAATTGATGCGATCTTATTGCACAAAGGCACAGGTAAACAAAGATGCTATCTAGTGTCCTGGAAAGGATATTCTTCTGCCAGCAATGAATGGATCCCAGAAGAGAACCTGGGAAATGCCCTTGACATCCTCTCTGCATATAAAAAGACCCACTGATTATAATCCTAGAACAATGTCCATTGACCACCTACAATGCTGCCTACTCCATATCCAATATCTTACCACTGCTATGAACTCTGCCTTCAAAAGACTTGCTCATCCATCATCCCTCAAAGACTATCAACTTGCCACTGCTATCAACCTCGCTGCCACTGAAAATACACCTCCCCCAGTTGCTTCCCCACCTTTGACTGACACTACCTTATCCAGCAACTCTACCCTCACTGATTACTTCTCAATCATTGATCAAATCAAGACCAGTGCCTTATTTGAATCCGCCATCACATCCCAGCAATATGCTATTGAGATAGATCATCTCCTAGAAGAAAGAGGAGCAATCTCTAGCAGGCTTATTATCCGAATCATCAGAGATGCTAGCCTTATTGAATGCACTGCTAACCTTCTTGATGATGAACATCACAAGACCATCTTCTGCCACCTTCATATATGTATTTGTAATACTGCAATCTGTCTGTTGCCTGATGATACTAAGGAAGCTATCAGAGAGGCTATTCACATCATCACAGAATGAATCGCTACAAACCCAGTGGCAAGACCCCCATCCCCACACATTGCCATTCCAATCCCACCACCAATTCTTCCATCACCTACCATTGAGCATATGGATAATGATCTCAATCCTGCTGCTGTACCTGTCATACCAGCTTCTCCTGCTCCTACCCCCATTGCACCCACTATGCATCACTACCCTACTAGATGAAGATCGTCCCAAATCAGTAAATGAGAACCATCCATCTCCCCTACCATCACCAGAAACCATAAACAACATTCCAGATCCCCATTGCCACCACCAGTTCCATCAGCCTCCACTGTCACTACAGTAAAAATGGAAACCATTGATAATGTTGTATGTCACAACTGCCATGTTACCAGACACCATCACAAGAATTGTCCATCGTACTACTGTCAGGTTTGTAAAGCTGAAGCACCTGGGCACTTGTCAGTTTTTTGTAAAGATCTGAAAGGTGAAGCAGTGATCCCATTGATCTGGACTGATCCAGGCTTCTACAAAGCTCTCTCTCATTGGGAGACAGAGCAGGATGCTATCTATCACACCACTGGGATTGCCGATAGATTGCAGTTTACTGTGACTGAAGAACAGGATGATTTATTGGACTCTAACTATGACACTGACCCAATCTACTGGGCTAACCAGGATAACTAAAGTCGGTGACTTTGTCTCTAAATGAGGGGTAATGTTACAACCATGTACGCCCCTATTCATTCTCTCTCTTACTGTGTATTACATCATGAGCCACATAATGCCACCACTAGACTTATCTTTCCCTTGTATTACATCACAATCACCATTGCCATCACTAGATGACCTATTCTTGCTATCACTTACATATCCCTTATCTCTGGCTCACATACATTCTCACATCTGCCCTAAAGCACCTGTAGCTCACTATAAATAGTCCTCTTGTACACTTTAGTTCTTTACTTTAATCTTACTGTTACGAACTCGGATAGAGCGTCGTTCCAATAAAGGAATCAAGGATCAGGGTCAATCAAGGACTAAGCCTTATCAAGTCAAGTGCCTCCCTCAGGAGCAATCGTCTAGACTCCCGCAGGATCTAGAGTTCAAATGGGACAATGGCTAGCCTCCTTCCCAAGGAGCTAGAGTTCAAGTATCAAAGAGAACTGAGTAGATTCAAGTTAGAGAAATACAAGTGGTAACTAGGGTTTATATATGTAAGGGAATCGTGCACAGACCAGGCTGGGCAAAGGGTAATGACTACTAAGAAAGGAAGGTTCATGGGAAAACAAGGTATGAGTCAGAGATAAGGGAGACCATGAGGAAACAGTGCAGTGAAAAGGAAGTGTTAGAAGTACAGCCAAATAGGAGTCCGCAGTGATGATGGGAAAAAGAGTGGGGCACTGTAACACTTACTAGGTTTTACCTGAAACATCCTTTGCTTGAGACCTCCAATCTCTTGTTGTCTGAACTGTACTTTAAGTTAGAAGCACTCCTTCTGACTTAGCTTACACTGAACACTTGACTTATCATCTTGCGTAGAATCTTGGCAGAGGTCCTGACTCTTATCAAGTTGTCTGTCATTAGAACTATCCTAGTTTGTAACACATGTGGCTTGGGGTGCCAGGAGGAAAAGCAACTGAGGGCACTTTGACTTGGCGCTGGAGTGGGGCAGTTAAGTGGCCCATGGGACAGATGAGTGCACAACTGCCAACATATTTGTCAAGGTATTCAATCATGGATGGGGATCATGTACATTGGTATTTTGCAGTGCATCATCAAAAAACCCTGTGGGTATCCAACAAGCACCTTTCATCTCCAGAACTGGTCCTGGTGTAGCATTTTTGATGATGGCGGAAAGGTCCCATGTGTATATGTGGCCATCAGAGCAGCTAGTGATGAGGAACTTTTCATCTGCAGAAAATGTCGCAGAGCTCACCTTGTCTTCATGGTGAAGTAGTGTTCCAATGGGTTGATTGGTTTCAAGGTTCAATAGTTCTGCTTTCTTGTCCAAGGGTGCTCCACTTGTGCATGCCAGGATGTGCTCATTGAGAGATAGTGAAATGGTATTGATGAACATTTTTGATATGCCAACAACAGCTGTCCATGTGGCTGTGTCAAATTTCATGATGTTGAACATTCCCCCTGTGATAAGTGTTTTTCCATCTGAGGTCCATGCCAGGCATGTAATGTTAACTCCATCATCAAGTGTTTTGAGTAATTCGCCTGAGTTGGCGTCCCAGATTTTCAGCACTGTGTACCCACCTGTGGCAATAATATTGGCATCAGGTGAGTAGCAAACCACATTCATGCCACCCATTGCCTTGATTGGTCCAAGGACAGTTTTTCCACTCTCAACAGCCCATACTCTGAATGTCTCATCCCAGGATCCGCTCAGCACTCACCCTCTACTCGAACTCCAGCACACAGAACACACTCTGTTTGTGTGCCCTGCCAATACTTTGATGACCTTGCCTGTGTCAACATTCCACAAATTCACTGCACCATCTGAGCTCCTGCTTGCTATGGTCTTACCATCTGGTGACAATGCTATGGTGTGCACTCCTCTTTTTTTGTCCTCCCATTCCTCCCAAAACTGCGTGCCCCTCTCCAAGTCCCAGACTTGAAATGACCCATCCAATGAATAAGTGATAATCCATTGTCTACCAGGTAAATGTATGATGTAGCGGATGTTGTTCTTCACATCGATCTTTCAGTAAGGAATTGTCACTAAATTCTCGTGCTTCACAGATGCTGGATGCTCCATGATTTTGGTTTCAGGATTCACTTGATGGGTGCATGATAATTTCAGCTTTTACCTTTGATCGCCATATGAATCTATCACTTACTTAGGATCCAGATCTGCTTGACTTGTGCACAGAAAGACAAATGTCGAACAAAAGCCTTAATAGAGTGGGTGTTTTGTTCAACAGAAATTCAGGCCAGGAAGGAGGTCGTTAAAGTCTTCTGCAGGTGCACCTTCATCGCTTCATCCTCATGTTTGCCTTGCGGTTTCAGCACATGGCTGTGCAGTTTAAGTGCCCAATCATGACAATTATGCACATTGATGGCTTGGCATCATGGTCCTACTATCCCATAAGCCTGCATGTCTGTGTTTCTCCACTTGCCCAATGCAACTTTGCAATTATTGTATCTACCTTTTCTTTTCATAATTTTTGTTGAGTCTAACTAGAGTCATCCTGCTCCTCTGCCCAACCTTGGTTCTCAACGTCCTATGTGAACTTTTCTTCTTTGTCTCCCTACTAGCTAAATCGCAATTTGGTCATAACAATTATGATTTTCATGGATGAGACTATTCATCTTTGTCAGTACATTGTCTGTGCTCATGTCTTCAACACTCGAAGCTGCATTGTCGGTGCACAAATGTTCTTTACCTTTCAGCAAAGATCTCAAATGTGGCAGAGCAAAGGCTGTTGACAACACCATCAAGTGCAATATGATAACAAACATATTGGTACCTACCTTGCAGACGATTAGCAATTGGGTATGGTTCTCCACAAGTGGATTTGGTGAGATGAGCACGGCTACCCCATCATTGCAACGCTCCTCAACACCAACAAGGACAGTGAGATCTGCTTGTATCATACAAGTCACAAATTGGCGAAGGTGAATAGCAATACGATCTCACAGGCATACACGTGACGCGGGTCGAAGAGACTTTCATGTATGGCTGGTCAGTGGTCTGTCATATTTGGGCTGGATGCGCTGTCCACAAATGAAGCTACTGATTGCTTCATTGTCGAGCAGACATATGCATGCCAGCAGTGCTATGCAATGTCTCCCAATGACTGCACATTGCCCCGCCCTTCATTTCTTGCAAACATTTGTCGAAGATCAAACCCAATTCATGTACACTGGGAAATCTATGTGATGGACTTTCTGGTTGGTGGGGCAGGCTGCAGTCCAGATGTATAGATGTTTTGCCATACTTTCTCGTGTCATCGCTGAACAGTAACCGAACATCATTATCATACCTCAGGTACGCTGATATCTACCTAGGATTTTAAACGAGTCGATTGTATTCCATATGATACTCCAAAGTAAAAGAGCGGGCTGTCTGGACATGCTCTACATGCCCAGTGTCCTTCCCTAACAAACGCAGTCTGTGCAATTCAGCGACATATCAGTAAAGAAGGCTTGGTTCATATTCACTGCACCGGTTGCGGCATACAGCCGTCCACACAAGAACTGACTACTGGCTACGGACTGAGTCACAACGAATATACCATGAATCGTGCTATACAGGAATGTCCACGATGTACCTAACGTTGACCGTATCTTGGGCATTGGAGGGGCTGCGGTGGAATAAGCGACGAAGAACTGACCTTGTCTGCGGTTCTGAGGAGTGGGGGCCACTTTGTGAAGGGAACTGGAAACATGAAGTCGAAAAAAAAACGAAGTGACACTAACAGCAAGAACGTACTTGAGAGTCTGTGTGTTAAAAAGAGACGCAACCAATCCAGAGTAAGAACCGAGTCCACCATCCGGCCCGAGTTATGATGATATCAGGATATGACGATGTGCCAGTTGCCGTAGCAGTGGCGAGAGGTTGCTGCAATGATGACGCTGTGCCTTGTAATGTCCCAGTGGGTATAACATAAGTATTGGGAGGTCGAGAGGAGCCAGAAGCTTTCTTTCTTGCGTGATAGTTCCTCTGTACAAAAGTCAGTGATAAAGAATAGATGAGAGCGGGGAAAAGGTACAGGCTCCATTAAACATTGAGCTTCTATGACCAGTCCCGTTTTCCGGATACCATGTTTTGAGCCCAGATGAGAGGGCGGGATCGTGCACGAGACCGCCTGGGAGGATGAACAAGCTCGTTGTTAATGTGATCCATTGAAAAAGAAATGGATCTAAGCCTACATTATCCAATAGAAGGCCAGCTTCTTTGAGGACAGCTGAAACGTCCCATATGTATATATGATGGTAGCCGCAATGAGTGACGAGGAACTTTCCATTTGCAGCAAAGGTGGCGGAGTTCACGAAGCCTTCATGGTGAAGTAGTGTTCCGATGGGTTGATTGGTGTCGAAGCTCGATAGTTGCACAGCAGTTTTGTCGAAGGATGATGTGCTTGCGAGGATACGCTGATTGGGAGATATTAAAATGGTCTCGACGAAGTGTTCGCCTTCATCACTGGGATATTTCGAACGATTCGAAATGGTTTCGACTGTCCACGTGGCTGTGTCTAATTTCTTGACGAAGTCAGATCCCCCGCCGAAAAGTGCTTTTCCATCTGAGGTCCATGCCAGGCACCAACGTTGATCCTCGCGATCGAGAGTTTTGAGCAATTCGCCTGTGTTGGCATCCCAGACTCTCAGCCCCATCGACCCAGCTGTGACAATCATCTTGCCATTCGGTGAGTAGCAAATCGCGTACATCATTTCGAAGAATTTCAAGCCTGTCTTGATTGGTCCGACGATAGTTTCTCCACTCTCGACATCCCATACTCTGAAATTTCCATTCCAGGACTCTCCACTCACCACTCGTCCTCCATCTGGATTCCAGCACAGAAAATCCACTTTCTCTGTGTGCCCCGTCAATGTTTTGATAACCTTGCCCGTGTCGATGCTCCACAATTTCACTGCACCATTAGGACTCCCGGTTGCTACTCTCTTGCCGTCCAGCGATAATGCTATGATCTCCACTTCTCTTTCTTTGTCCTTCCATTCCTTCCCAAACTGCCTGTTCCTCTCTAAGTCCCAGACTCGAAATGACCCATTACCCGATGAATAGATGAGGATCCGCTGTCCACATAGCAGATGTAGGATGTGGGTGATGTCGTTCTTCACTTTGATCTTTCGGTAAGGCATTGTCGCTAAGTTCTCGTGCTTCGCGAGGGTCGGATGCTTCATGACTTTGGTTTCGGGATTCACTTGATGTGTGGGTCATAATTTCAGCTCTTGCCATCAAATCACATACGAGTCCACCACTTACTCGCAATCCAGATGCTACTCGATTCGTACTGAAGGAGGAATGCAGAACGAAAGCTGAGACGGAGTGGGCGTCTCGTTCAATGGAGATTAAAATCAGGAGGGAGGTCGTGGTTGTAGTTGCGTTTTCCTCGCTTTATCATCGGTTCGAACTTCGCTTCACAGCTTCAGTACTGCCTGTGCAGTTGAGCGCCCAATTATGGCAATATGCGCATTACCCCTCGGCACCACAGTCCTGCTATCCCGCAGTCTTGCATTTCGTCGGTATTGGTATTCTACCCTCAAGCAGGAACGCGCTTCCCGGATCCTCAAGTATTTCTTCATCTCGCGAATCAGACATGTATGTACCATGAATTCGGGGGTCGTCTCACCATAGCTTAGTGAGGAGAGTTTCGATTCTCCATTACGCACCCAATTTGAGGAGTGAAACACTATCTATATTTGAAGGAACTATCTGGCGCTCAAGGGGACCACCCCTTTCTCCACTATGTGGCTTCTTCACACGGAATCTTTCTTTTCTTGTTGCAGGGTTGAATCAGCAAGCAGGGCGCTGTTTAGCTCAGGACCGGAAGTCTGGCGCAGAAGGTAGAACCCAAGACCGAATAATTGCATTGGCCCAGTGAAGGTGTGGACTTACTTGATAGCAAGTGACGCTATATTGATGCTGAGATGTCGACAGATGAAAAGCTTTGCATGTCGTCAGAAGATTGATCTCCACAGCATACTATTACATTGTGTAAAGCTGTGAAGCGAGCACGAGGATGCTATCATCATATATTCATAGTAAGTTTATAAACAGCAGCCTCCCTCTATATCGAGCACAGCGCTCACTCCACAGCAGTTCTCAATCTGCGTATCAAGAAGCTCATTGGTCTAATTGGAGGGCAGGAGCTGAAATTGTCCCTCAGGTCCGATCCGCACAGCTGCACTCATGATCAAGCTCTGAAAAAACCCGAAAACCTGTGCAGAAGTTACATATAAGCGATCTCATTCTTGATTCAACTCTTTCAGTAAAACGCCTAGGCTCCACTCCGTTGCAACCTTTATTCTGCACGGGTTCATTCTCTGTACAAGTCAAGTGCCTGTAAGTGATGACTATCGGGAAAAGAAGAAACTGTTCATCCCAGGGCCAGCCTGTGTGTTATTCGTTTCCTTCTAGGTTTTTTCACTGTCTCATTCTTTACGCGGAGAAACTGTTGTATTCCTTTGTGTCGTCGTCTACTCGTCAATACACTAATTCAGCTTTCTAAACAAACAAGTACCTGAAACAATTCTACCTTCACCTTCCGCGTTAAATGGATCTGTATTTATATAACCACGTCAATTGATAGCATCCTGTTTGAGGTGTAAATATAGTTTTGTGCATCACCCCGCTGACGGCCCGTTCCAAAAGCAATCTAAGTATCAGATAGAAGACATAGCCTGGGTACTGGCGACCTCGTTGGTTGATCTCCACCCAAGCTACATTGATAATACATAGCTGCAGGTATAAGTACTACCCCATGATCTAGATTTCTTCGTTAACTTCACACGTACAACATGACGATATCCACACTCACTCTCAATGATGGCAATCAAGTCCCCTGGATCGCATTTGGCACCGGCACGAAGCTTCGCCAGCAAGATGCACAGAGCCCTGTCGAAAACGCCATCGCCAACGGTTTCACGCATCTCGATGGTGCCCAGATGTACGAGAATGAAGAGAGCTTGGGCATTGCAATCAAGGCCTCTGGAATACCACGCTCTGCGCTCTTCGTTACCACTAAACTCAATCAACTGCAGCCAAATCAGACTGCTAAGACTGCGCTGCAGGTGTCTTTGAAGAAATTAGGCTTGGAGTACGTAGATCTATATCTTGTGCACGCGCCCGGACACCACACAGGCCAGCTGAAGGAGGTGTGGAAGATGATGGAGGAGTGCAAGAGGGAAAGACTAGCAAAGTCCATTGGGGTGTCAAATTTCGGGGTTGCGCATCTGCAAGAGATCTTGGAGGGTGCCGAGTTTCCGCCTTCAGTCAACCAGGTGAGTTAAATCACTTCAGTGTTAGTATCACTTTTGAACAACAATAATGAAAGATTGAGATCCACCCGTATGTGTGGAAGTCTTTACAGCCTGTGATGGCGTTGCACAAAGAGCACGGCATCATCACGTCCTCTTATGGTGGCCTAACGCCTCTCTTCCGCGCACCCGGAGGACCCCTGGATCCCGTCATCGAGAAAATTCGGGCACGCCTTGAGTCCACTCGAGGGCAACCTGTGTCACTCGGCCAGGTACTTAACAAGTGGTTGCAGCAGTACGGTATCCTGGTCGTCACGTAAGTTCCCTCTGTCCTGGGTATGCTTTGTTGTTGTAGATGCTTACATAGTATCGAACAGCACTTCGAGCAAGGCGGATAGGATGAGAGAGTATCTTGATACCGCCAATGTTCCAGAATTGACAGCTGAAGAGATCGAGTCGATTGAGAATGCTGGGGCGCAGCATTACTATAAATTCTTGGTATTGTCGGATTGATTAGAGGGGCGTTATAATACTGGTCAGAGTGCTTTGTAGTTAGTTTGTAGATCAACACTGACGGAAACCACATTCTGTGAGGACACATATGTCAGATAATCTGTATTCCGTGAGTGTTACATCGAGCGGGATGTGTTGTAGCGAAAAGTATACACTATCCCTGGCATGAGAACTGCATAAAGCCTGCAACATGAGATGTAGACAGCTGAAGGAGATGTAAACCTTATTGTGCATGAATTGCCCTGTCAGACAATAAACCATATGTCCTAGAAAATAAAGATGAACCGACACGAAAACTGAGCTGAGCTTCGGTCCTAGGTAGAAATACGTACGGCACAGTCCGAAGCCAAAGATGATAGCCATGTGGCATCATTGAGTGCACAAAATAATATAGACAATGGCCATTGCATTCAACCTTTAAGCGTACATGATATTATGCCTGCTCTGGCCGAAATTCATGCACATACTGCCCGTTACGCAGGACGAAAAAAATGGTTCAAGAGGGAAAAGGTAGCAGAACAACCAGAAAAGTAGGAGGGAGTGTTAGATGCAATAGGATAGAAAGTATCAAAATGATGCACAAAATACACCACATGTCTTCCTCAACGTTTACTGTCTGTGTATTGGATGGACACTCAGCCGATCCAGAGCAAGAACCGAGTCCACCATCCGACATGCTTTAGGGTAATATCAAGGTGCACTGACGTTCTAGCTGCCAATGAGGTAGTAGCGACTACGGGAAGTGCGTCGGATATTACGGTAGTGGCGGGTGGTCGCTGTGATGAAGGTGGAGTATGCTCTGAGTCGCTCTTTGTTGGGTTGATACCACATGGCATGGGTGTCAGGATGTTGGGAGTCGCTTGTCCTCCGCATGAAAATGAGACGGTGCAAAAAAACCCAGAATCGAAATGAAAACGTACAGGCGAGATCTGACCGTACTGCAGCTGAACCACCAGCCGACTAGCGTCAGGGTTTGCAACTATCTCCCTTACCGCATGATACATTGCATTAGGATTGGGGTGTTGAGGGTCACTCGTCTTCTTTCTCGCATGATAGTTCCTCTGCATGAAAATGAGACAGTGCAAAAAAAACCTAGAACGGAAACAAAAACGCCCCGGCGAGCACAGTGCCGCACCAGCTGACCAGCGTTGAGGAAGTTTGCAACCATCTCCCCTCCCACATAATAGTTCCTCTGCCTGAAAATGAGAAACCAAAAAACGAAAACGCACAAGCGAGCTGTAATAACTCTGAATCAGAGGTCTGCAACTGACGTTCGGATCTCTAAATTCAGCATAACTTGACATTGCATACACTGAGGCGCTCGAGCCTCGCAGTGGACGTTTTGTTCAATGCATAGTCGAGCGAGGTGTTTGCTTGACAGCAAGTTGAGCTGACTGTATAGATCACACGTCCAGGTATTGTCCGGATGTCCTCTCATACTGCAGTGCCAGTTTTGTTCTCATATATTATTAGTACTCTCGTTTTCCGGTCCATGTGGAGTTACAGTGTCCTCTTCTTGCGCGTACACCAAATATCAGCCTGCACCACATCCCCGGACATGACTCATCCACCTGCTATTAGATGCATTCTTCTGCAGGTGGAGCATTTGAGCAAGTTGATCTGTGGAATCAAACATGTCGCAGCAGAACGTTCTTATGGGGCTTGAGGCTTTGTGGTCCGAGTCACGTTCGATGAAATTCGGAATGAGCTCACGGACGTCGATAAAGTAGCGAGGACTCTCACCAGGCTTCAGAATCACCCACTGACACCAGCACTTTATCAACAATCATCTCCCAAAATGCCTATCCCTGGTAAGAATAGCGACACGAACCGTGAAGCTTGAGATGCAAGCAGTTGAGGTAAATCATATAGACCCGACGATAAGAGCAAATGTACGTCCGAGTAAGTATGCATCAAGATAGAGGAGACTGCAAATGAGTCAGATGTGGCATAAGTACAAGGATTGGCCAACATATACTCGTGAACCCCCGATACTGTCAAGGTCCTGGCTCCCGAGCGCTCCATGTACATGCTCACTTGAAATCCTTAGAATCATCGGCTAGGCGGAGGAATAATGATGCTATCGTGAAGTCAGCAAGAGGTCCCAGGAAAACGGAAGGATCGCGCGTGTTATTATGTAACATTCTCAATTACCTCAACAAAGTAGTTCAAGTTCAACTTGAAGTTGACTCCAACCCAGCACCTCCTGAGGGCTCATTATCTAGTTGACATCAGCCAAACTCCTCAGCATTTTCCAGCTAACACTTTTAAAATTCAAGCTAGGTCTTATGCATGTATTTTTATCATCAAACTCGTGCATAAATTTATGTGAAAGAACAGTGCCCGTGTGCAGCCGAATTTCAATCACGTCCATCTCTAGCCATCTTCCATCTTCCTCAGGCAACGTGTTTGATAGTAGCTAAACAACAAACAACGGATGTCGAACGCGATGTTGATTCGAAAGCTCTTGAAACGTCTGTTTCAAGTGTTGGTGACGCTCGCAACTTCATCTGCACGGCGACTGCTCATTCTCGTATCATGCTTTCGACGCTTTGTGGCCAAGGTTCATGCTCCAATCTTGCATGGTACTGACTCCAAGTTTTCCACTGTAGACTCATGTTGTTCTGTCTTGACTGGGACTTCTAGTGCACGATGTTCTCAGTCTACCTTACCATTGCCACTTCATACTACTCCGCCAAGTGTAGCGAACCCCGTGGTTTCAGCACCTCCGTGTGCTGTGCCTGTTTCAGGCGCTCCCCAGCATGCTAATCCGCCACAGCCACCTTTGCCTCTAGCTGTCGGTAATGCAATCTCTGCCAATGGCCTCCCCATCAGTCTCCATTTTGTGCCATCCGCTGTAGATCACAAATCACGATATGACAATCGTCCTTTTGTGTATGTGTATCCAGCTCATTACAGTGAATGGCCTTGAGAAGTTGCTCTCCAGAGATACCTCTCGCTCTAGCGGAATTCCAGCACTCACGAGGTCCTTCCCCAACCAGTGAGTACACCCAGCCAGGCATTATGTTAAAGCAGATTATGAGTAATGCAGATCATGTCCTTGGTTGAACGGTGACTGGCAACGGTGTGTACACCCCGAAGGCGCACTGTATTTGTACAATGGCCGCAAGGTAAGCAATGCACATTTATCTTTGGCCATCGACAATGACGCCTACAGAGAACGTTCACTGAAGCACACATTAACGAATATTCGTTCCGCTTGATGGACAGATGTGCGGATGAGCTATACGACCTGGCACGCACAAAATTACCAAACATTGACGCTGATGATATCGAGCTCGTCGTGCAGGTAGTACTGAACCAAGCAGATTTGTGTCAGTACTACTTCGTTGACCATGCAACCCGAACTCTCTTTTGGCTGCACGATTACGATCGAGAGACGGAGAATAATATATTTGATGGGTTTTCAGGCGTCTGTGATCTGAGTCATATTCGTACGTTATGGCAACTTGTGGCGCTCATGATATGAACTAGCCAACAGGATACGCCTTGGAGTCTCAATACTGGTTTGTCGGTTGTGGTCGTGAGTCTCACCTTTTTCTAGCTTACTTCTAGTCGGACCGATTCTAATTTGATTGTCAATGTGTTTTAGATACAATATGACCATCTTCAACTGAAACGAGTAGGATGCATTGCGAACGCTACCCGAAACACGAACCAGATCGAGTCAAACTCCTGAAAGAACTGAGGGCAGTTGTTGTGCATGCGAGTGCAGGTAATCGATTTCCCGTAATTATTCCTTCATCCTTTTTGAACGCGAAACTTAGAGATCATCACTTCGGATACTTCTTTGTCGCCTTTTGGTGCTGTTGAACTTTCCAGCATCCTGGAGCTGGTCAACCATCTTCAAGGTGTGACAAGTCCTCTTCGAACTATTTATCTTGTAAAATATAAAATATTATATATTTCCAGAGAACGCCCAGGAAACCGATTTCCCTCATCCCATTTGTGTCATTGGTACGTGAAGCTATGTACACGGTGCAATATATTTCGGAGATTCACTTTTTCGACGATAGCGAGGTTCATGCATTATTTCTGTATGTTTTTAGTCTTCACGTTTCCTCACTCAACTCATTTATTTTCAAGGCAAAGCCAAGTATTACAACTTCTGTGGCCTACCTTGGGCTCGTCTCGACGCCGATAAACCTGTGTACGACAAGATTGCTAGCTCTCACCCACTGAGCAGTAGTTTTTCTTTGGCCCTTGACGCCATGCTTTTTTGGGCACCACAAGCACACTTGGACGATCTTCGAAGGGTGTGGGTAGATGAGTGCCTCAACGCACCGCGGTGGAAAGACTACAATGCAAAGCTCATGACGGAGTGGACCGGAATCACCATCTACGTGCGTGTCATCAACTTAACATCACACTTCATAACTTTATCCCGAATTTGTTCCTACCAGTCCACCGTCATGTTAGCCGTAGATGTGAGTTTTCTTGCAGTGCCGAACGTGAACATTTCCACGTCACAGTCGGTCGGGATCATTGCTACTTATCTCTCGATCATCTTGATAACTGGCTCCTTGGTCGTCTCGGTCCTGCTGGTCCGCCAAAACCAAAGATATGGTTGTGAATCAGTGGACAAAGCAGTAAGCCGTTGCCTTGAGGTTCATCTCTCTTATGCTAACCAGTCTGCATAGGGAGACTTCATGTACAAGATGACTGACACGTTTTTCGGGGATAAAGGCCTTGCGACGGTCAATAGTCTCCCTTACGCAATGCTCATGTGGGGGTGGGTAGGATTGATGCTCTATGGCCAGGGCTAATGACAATTACCTTTCCCCTTACCAGGATGATCTACTTTTCAATCGCTCTGCTGTACAACGTGTTCAAGTCTACGACAATAGTCATGCTGGCATCAGTTGTTAGTGGATGTGCGGTGGTTACCATGTTTATAGTGTGGTTCATCTGGACAGCAAAAGAGCTAGATATCTTCAAGCGACTAGCCGAGCTCATATTATCTGCCAGGAGTCGCATCATAGCACGCCTTGGCGTTCCCTAAAGTTCATGAGACGACAAGAGTTTCCTAGACAACTTTGACTTCTCCGTACATAACAGTTCGACCCATCTGGTAGTGGGTTCCCTAACAGCCCACAGATTATTATACGCTGATGTATCTAAGAAACACTATATAATGATAACAGTCATGGAGAATGAAAACGAGATAATAGATGGGACAAAAAAGCCGAAGAACACGGAAGCTAAGATGTTGCTCCCAAAATTTGGTTGTTTGCGTACTGGAAAGGCACGCAACAAACTTCGAGCATGCCTGTCTTATAGAGGTGAATAACACAATCATGCTCGTAGCATAAAATATCTAGGGATCGCTTCGTGAAGGTCTTGGACGAACCCGCTGATTCGCAGACGAAAGGTCACATCACAGCGGGCGTGATGTAAACTCAAGCCTGGACAGCCGTTCACAGCAAAATATTGCAAGTTACGAAGAAGCCAGACCCCATACGGAGAGGAAGCATCCGACTTCAACGATGAGCTGAGCCATGTCCGAGATGTATTCTCGCAACTAGCGCAAATAAATGTGGTGTGTCCACCTGGCCGCTCGTCTGCACCAGTCAAGATTGCGTGTAGATGATCTTGAAGGTGTTCGCGTCCAACTATGAAGCACCGAAGGTCTGATGGTGACAGTTGGAGGTGGCTTTGGCCACCCTCGGCCAGGTGACTCCAACGGAGGATCGAAAGCGCATAGAATGAGGCAGGAAGGATCTCAGGAACATTACATTCCCGTGCGAGGCATATGGCCTCTAGGGCACATTTTAGACCGGTCTACAGGAGAAAAGGGAAGCTCACCAGCGGCATGAGGGAATGCGGCATAGGTCATTTTGGTGAGGTCTTGGGGCCAGCGCAGAAATAGCTGACGTATGCTCCATTGACGGAGGTCTGCGATGTCATATTTGTTGGATAGTCGTAGGGCTCCAGCTATGATATCAAAGACGACAGTTTGGTTATTGAACTTCCTAGAGACACGGTCATATACAATCATAGTTTGACGGATGAGGGGATGGCTCACTCGCGTTGGTACATCCATGTCAGGGCGACTAGCCAATCATTCACGGAATCTTGTGACAAACTGACCAGAGGACACCCATGCATTCTCTCGATGTCGACCGGCTGCGGAAGTTCGAGCATGTCCGCAAAAATGACAGAACACATGAGCTTGCTCCGGTGAATCTTCCATGATTGTCCTTCGACACCAATCACGATATCCCCGTCGGCAAACCAAAACTGCGACTGCTCAACCAATGATTCGGATGCTCTGCGGTGGCCCGTCCGTTGTCGTTTCGCTGGGGGAGGCGATATCCGCATATCCTCGTCGGCACTGTGCATCGTTGAAGAGTGATGAGTTTGAAGTTTAAACGTTTAAGTCGTGCGTTGTGCCATATTGACCTCACGTCTGTGGCGTGGAAATGGACGCGTCGCGTCTAATCGTGGACGTCCTAGCAAATGATATTATTCTATATACGTCATCATTCCACATCACCACCAGTATCATCTCCCGCAATTTCAAGTTTCCGTTTATGCCCAGGCAGTTCAGCACCATCACCATACCCCACACCCGCTTTTTTCCGTAGCACCTCTATGTCCTGTTCAGCCTCTTCCGCCCACTGAAGTACAAGATGTCTCCCAAGTAAATGCGTGTGTTTTAGTGCAGCATATGCGTTCTCCGCCTCGTGCCGGGTGAGGAACTCCAGGAACGCGAAACCACGCGAACGCGAGTCGAACTTCTTCGGAAGACGTACGGATTTGAGATGACCATGGGCACTATATAAATGCGGGTTGAATGGGATATTAGGCACATAGACAGTAGATTGTACTGACCTAAATAGCTCTCTGATATCCTTCTTCGTAGCTTCGAATGGAATATTCTTCACTATCATCTTCGTCGACGTGCTCTTGGTTACTGTATTGTCCTTGGGCTCGTCTTCTGTTCCGCGCCCAGCAAACTTGACGTGCAATGAATGCCCGTCAAGTATAAAGCCCTGCATACTTTTCATAGCCCCCTTCGCATCTTCAGTCGTCTTGAATCCCACGAAGCCATACCCCATACTCAGTCGGGGGGCTTCAGCACCAGGAACAGCAGGTCGTTTGGGATCAGGCTTGGTCTGTAC